GTGGGGCCCTTTGAAAGTGATTCCCCCCCCCCCCCCCGTTCCTTATAAAACAACCTTAATTTTAGATTGTGGAGAAATGGTGCGTGGCAATTATTTTTGCTTTCTTCAACAAGATGTGTTTAAGTAAATGAGATTCATCTCCAGAACCGAAGCGGAGAAAGAACCTGGTTAACAAGATCAGCGCCTATAATCACGCGGAATAACTGTGGGCAAACAGCCCGCGTAGCTGGGCCGGAAAATGCCGCTGCTTGTGGGTTCTGCTTGCCGGCCGACTTCAGCAGATGGGCGGCTAATGTAATTAGGAATCGTTGTGTTCAATGAGCCATTATTTAAACGATCTGCTCATTTTCGTATCTATTAACCTGCTGAAAAAGAGACAGTGATATCTGAGAGATCTCCAGCTGCTAATCGCTAACTGGACGCGTCACCCAGTTCTTTCCTTTAACGCGATGTTTTGCCCTCCTGCAGCGACGAGCAAATGACTTTCTGCAAGGTGATTGCCCCATGCATCAGCAGAAGATTAAGGAGGGACAGACAGTGGGAGACACGCACAGTCTGGATGTAGGTTTCGGCTGGTGGTAGAACAGTCAGGTGGGTCGTCGTCTTGGAGGGCTCTTCGCTTTCCTGACCACACTTGGCTTTCGTTCCGTTCAGGGTCTCTGAGTTTAAGCATATCTGGTCTCTGGGGCACATAAGGCAAGGTTTGCTGGAGTCACCCTTCTCGCGTTTCTCCCTGCCCTGAGACACTGGTGGGGGCAAGGCAGTGAGGCAGGGAGGAGCCTGTGACTGCAGGGAACAGCTGGGTCTGGGGCTGCCCGGACTTCTGGGAGGTGGCAGAGCGCGCTGTCCAGCTGTCCAGGTGAGGAGCCGGCAGGTGGAGGTCTCAGGCCATCCGATGCTGTGTTCACTTCCTGGCACTTCATGCCGCCCTGGATGCTTGAAGGGTCTTTGCTGCTGCAGCTAGAGAATGTACCGGAAGCTCCAGTAAATACCAGGGCACATGGGTGGGCACCAGAACCTCTGCTGTTGTCTTAATTCCTTTAAAAATGTTTTCATGTTTATTTATTTTTGAGAGAGACAGAGTGCGAGCAGGGGAGGGGCAGAGAGAGAGGGAGACACAGAATCCGAAGCGGGCTCCAGTCTCCGAGCTGTCAGCCCAGAGCCCGTCGTGGGGCTCGAACCCATGAACCGTGATATCTATGACCTGAGCCGAAGTCAGATGCTTAACCGACTGAGCCACCCAGGTGCCCCCATCATCTTGTTCTAACATTGGTTATCCTTGGATATTTAAGAGGTAAACGTGTGGTTATTTTGTAGAGCACCTGGGACATGAAGTGAGCACCTGGGGACCACCCCCCCAGCCATTTCTAGAAAACCTAAATACTTTGCACACACATATCAGGAGTTTGATCTCCATCTCCCTCCAGCTTCTTGGCAGGTGCTCCTTCTTCCAGGTGTGTTCTTACCCCTACAGGTCAGCTGATTAGCAGATGCCTGAGGTAGTCATTGTGGGGAATGACAAAAGGAGACAGGAAAATCTGTTTTGCCCTCAAGCAACTTTCAAGCTCTTTGAAAGGAAAGCTACTTGGAGAAAAGGAAGGCCAGTAAAGACCCAGACAGCCAGGACTCCGTCAGCATCGCACCAACACACAATGAGGAAAATAAAACCCCACAGCAGGTGCCATTTTAAAAATGAGTGAGCTTTGTCTAGGCAGGCCAGGGCGTGAGGATAAAGTCCTGACTGTCCCCAAGGACACTCCTAAAGGGAACGCCCTGAAGAACCCGTTAGATTCAAACTGCTCTGGAACCAGCCCTTGGCCAGAGGTCCCTTGGGATGTCCTGGAGTTTGTGGTGGTGGCCACTGAGGACTGACCTCAGTCTTCCCACCTCCTGCAGAGAGTTGCATGTGTGATTGGCACAAGCAGGTATTGCTGGCTCACTGAGAGTCTGCACCAGGGAGCAGCGAGGCACAGGCAGCGAGGTGGAGTCCTGCCCAGACGCAGGCTTGTGAGAGGTGGGGCACCCCTGGATCCAGGGCTGTGTCACTGCTCGTGAGAGGTGGGGCCCCCTGATCCGAGGCTCTGTCACCGCTCAGCAAAGTGGCTCAGAAGCACACTGTCGTGAAGACACTGGCCGTTCACATTTTGAAACCTGCCCAGTCCTCACCCGCCAGTGTGCCGAATGGTGTCCTTGCTTCAGGATTATTTTGTAGAATGGCATCGCGTGGGTCTAGCCGGGGCTGCTGGGCTTGGAGAGTATCGTTGAAGAAGTACACGCCAAAGGGAAAAGTGTTTGCTTTAGGGGTAGTAGGAGTCTCCTACGTCTTCTCTCTCGTCTTCTAGAATAGACAGTCTCAGATCTTTTGCCTTCTTAATATTTTGTGTATTATTGGTGGGTGTGCAATACAGACTTGTCTTATAAATGAATAAACAAGTTTCTTTTGCCCAGAATATGCAGCGACTTGTTCACGGCTTTCACAACTTTAGCCAGCGGCCAAGATGCCCTGGGCGCTGTCCAAGGTACTGGGGCCGAAGCGGCGAATCCCACCTAGGCCCTGCTCCCCTGCAGGTTGCCCCGTGCTGGGATGTCCCCTGGAGAAGACCGTGGGGCGCCGTCCAGTGTGGAAATGGTGCACCAGGGGCTGGGGATACAGAATTCCTAGGAACAACGTGTACGGCGTTTCCAAGAGCACAGAGGAGGGAAGTATCTGCAGGGGGGATGAGAAAGGAGGGCTGTGGTGGGAAAAGTAGGAAGGTAATATTTCTGGAGCTTCCAGGGGCACTGGTCGTAGTTGCCTGTGCTGCTTACAGGCTTGTAATCGAGACGGAAGTTTAGCTCAGTGATGCCTGGCTGTGCTGGGAGGCACAGGGCAGTGACTCCAGGTAGTGTTTGGAGTTTTTATTGTTTTTACGGAGCGACAAAAAATTTGTCCTGTCAATTCCTGCAGTTCTGGATCTTTTTTTTTTTTTTTTTTAATGTTAATCTATCTGCATCTTCAACGTCCCTTGATGGGGCTGAGCGTCCTGGGGTTTAGACCATCATGGGTGTGTGGACTTGAACCCAAGGAAGCAGAAAATGCTTTTGGAAGTTCAGGATGAAGGATGCCGCAGAAGGCGGTGTGAATGCGTGGAGTGAGGCTAAGAAACCGGTACCCTGAGCCTCGGAGGTTCAGCTTGTTGCAGAGCAGAGGTACGGGGCAAGTGGCACTACTTTTTCTTCCCTTGTGGCTTGGATTCCTCCCAAAAGGGGAGCTATGGCGGGACGTCAGCACACACGACGTCTGTCTCCAGCATCGTCGCACAGAAAAAAGTGTCGGCTTGTCGCTGTGCAGAGACGTTACTTGAAACACAAACCCACGGTGGTCTCCCTGGACATCCGTCCCTTGCCTGACTTTGGACTGCCTCATTTATTGGGGTGATTTCTCTCCTCAGATCCTTTGCTCCAGGAACGACTGAGGTGGCCGGCTTTGCCGAGCCATGACTCAAATTGAATTTTCTTGCAAGCTGAGCCCTGCTGAACTCGCTGGGAAAGAGAGGGTCGTACCAGATGCCTGGACGGTTAGGAGTCGGCTGTGTAAAAGAATGGAGTCTGTATTCTGGTGCAGCTTTCTCTGCTTTCGTGTCCCCCTGCCTCTGCAAAGCGGGGCTTTGTTTGTTGCGGTAGACGTAAGCGCAGGGGTGTGTGAAAGTTCTGGTAAGATGCGGAGGCTGTTGGGGGGTGGATGTCTACCCAGAAATTCTCCTAGGCGATTGTGCCTCTGACCACGCTTGTAGTGAAAAAGCACTGGGTGTGGAGGTGGGATGCCCCCAGGCAGCCGGCCTTTCCTGCTGGGTGGCTGGGTGCTTGGAGACCCAGAAGCGCTCGTAAAGATGGCACGCTTTTCCTGACCGACCATGAGTGTGGACAGGAAGGATGCTCATGTTCAGGATTCTAGAGTTTTCTCACCTGTGATTTAATGACAGATGAAGTATTCCTCACTGTTGTGAAATTGTTTTTTGTTGTTTTGTTTTATTTTATTCTTCGGATGATTGATATGTCTTGCCACACTTTCTTCTTTTATTTATTTGAGAGGGCGCGAGAGCATGAGCACGGGAGGGGCAGAGAGAGAGGCCGAGAGAGGATCCAAGCAGGGTCCGCGCTTTCAGCGCACAGCCCGACGTGGGGCTCAAACCTGTGAACCACGAGATCATGATCTGAGCTGAAATCAAGAGTCGGATGCTTCACTGACCGAGCCACCCAGGCGCCCCTCACTCCCTGTTTTTAAAGGTGTCGAATTCCCCGATTGGCCTCATGAAGGAGTCCTGGGGTTTTACCCTTCTCCTTTGTTTCTCTGCTGCTTTCCTCCAAGCAACTTGAGAAGCTCTTTTGTCCTCAGGAACCATTTAAATCTGGAAGCGGGATCCCGTGTGTTGCACGGCTGAGCGTGTGTCAGCTTGGACCCAGTGTCTGCTGCTGGGACAAAAGCCTTGGTGCTTGACAGGTTGCATTTTGGCAGTTCGTTCCCAGGATGGGTAAAGGTGCCATCCTTGCTGTTGTCACATTGGCCATATGTGATACTGCGACTTACTAGAAGAAATCTATGTTTGATCTTGGTCCAGTTCCTGGCAGAGCTCCTGAAACCCGAGGAGCTCCCCCAGGGATAGGACTGCTATTCAGAGCAAGCCCCCGTCCGCCCACACCTGAGTGACGTTAATGAGCTTGCTCTCGGGATGGGGAACCAACCTGGGAGGGGAGTTGGGAGTTCAGGCTCGCCTCGGGAGGGCAGACGGGCTGGAGGTTGACTCGGTCACCAGCGGCCGACGATTTCATCAGCCATCCTAAGTGTGAGGCCTCCATGAAAACGTAAACTACAGGATCAAAATGGAAATGGGACATGGGAAGCCATAGGATTAAGAAAAATGTATTGAGTCGGACGTGTGTGGGATGGGCTGCTGTCTTAAAAGAACTGATTTTGAAGGGGTTGCTTTTACGTTTATTTATTTATTATTTTTATTTTATTTTTTAAATTTTTTTTACGTTTATTTTTGAGAGAGAGAGAGAGCACGAGCACGAGCGGGGGAGGGGCAGAGAGAGAGGGAGACAGAATCGGAAGCAGGCTCCAGGCTCCGAGCTGTCAGCACATGAGCCTGGAGATCATGACCTGAGCCGGAGTCGGACGCTTAACTGACTGAGCCACCCAGGTGCCCCAATGTGAAGGGACTTTTTAAAAACCTGCGCAGAGATTCCGATAAGCCTGCTTTGAGGATCATGTTGTGTTGAGTCACTGACACTGAGAGTGGGAGCGGAGAGCTCTGCCCTGTGGGAGTATCCGGCCCTCCCGGCTGACCTGCGCACGAACTCCTCCCCCGGGCGCACCTGACTGCTGGAGGCACGCGAGGTCTCTGCAGCTCCCTTCCGGTCCAGCCCAAGTACACGCAGACTTGGCGACGGCCGCGGGGCTGTTGGGCATCACGTGCTTGGACGGGGAACCAGATGATTTCTATTCAAACTGCAGGCTGTCTGACATCTCCTCTCTGTAGGGGAGTGAGATTTTGCACCTTTTCCAGTGACTCTGTGTTAGTAGATGCGGACGAAGGGCAGAATTCACTTCCTAAAGTTAAGGCGTATCGAGTGATTTTTATCATCTCTTTATTCAGTACGTTTTAGAGTCACGCCAGGCCTCGGGCCCCAGATCTGTCCGCCATTCCGCCAAGTGTCATGGATGGGATCTTCAGTGCTGGGAAGGGCACCCTCCGAGGTCGCAGAATTGGCTCTTGTTTGGGAAAACGTGGGCAGTGCATTCGCTGTGCCCACAGCTCCAGGGCAGGTGCTCCCAGGACGGGTCGTTACTGCCGGCCATGTCCGCAGCCTCCTGCAGGGGAAGGCCAGGGCACTTCGATCGGGGAAGCGGGAGCCAGAATTGCTGTCTGCCTGGCAGCCTAAAACGGCCTCCGCGGAGCCTGCCCACAGCACGTTCAGGCGCCCCAACTGCACCTTGTTTATTTTTTCCCGAATCTGTATTGTCTTTCAAAGGAAAAGTTGGTGTCTTTGATTTTTTTTAACCTTTGAGAATCATTTAGCTGTTCGCTCAACACATATTTGAGCGTCTGCTCTGTGCCTGGCCCCGTTCCGGGCACGGGGACAGAGCAGCGAACAAAATAGCACATATCCCTGCCTGAGAGCTCACACTCTAGGGGTAGCTCCTAGAGCCAGGAAGTGGGTAGGTGGGTTAAAATAATGTGTTTGGAGTAAGACGGCGTGGGTTCAGACCCGGCCCTGCCACGCACACACCCGTGCGTGGCCAGGTTGGTCAGCCCCTCTGCACCTGCTTGCCCTATCTGTGAATAAGGGTGTCGACGCTGCCCTCAGAAGGCCCTTGTGAGGGTTCAGCATGTTAGTGTCTATGCAGCACTGTAAGGAGTCCCTGGCACATAGTAGGTGCCGAGTCCTTGGCACATAGTAGGTGCTGCTAGATGCCTGCCATTGCTGTTGTTACCCCAGGAGGGCATGAGCATCATGGGAGCAGAGGGAGGAAGGGAAGGGGGTGCTCAGCAGAGGCAGGGAGTTGCCATTCAGAAGGGTACATTGAGAGGTGCCGTTGAGTAAAGCCTTAGAGGACATGGGGGGATGTGCACTGCGGGTTCCCTGGGAGGGCACTCTGTGTCCCAGTTCCCCCCAGGAGGGCACACCGCATTCCGGGTCCCCCCGGGAGGGCAGTCCACTTCGGCACAGGCGGCGGGTCGGGGGGCAGGGACGGCCCCAGTCTGGAATGTCCACGGAACAGCATGGTGGGGGTGGAGTGAAGTCGGGGCGCCGGAGACTTGGCAGCCGGTGTGAGGAGTGAGGCTGTCGAGCCGAGGGAGGGCAGGGGGTGGTGCACTCTGACTTACACTTTTGTAGTGTCACGGTGGCCACTGGGTGGAGCGGACTGAGGCAGAAAACGGGGACGCTGGTTGGGAAAGTTGGGAGACGGTGATGCCACTGGCCACATTGGTCCCAGCAGAGGTGATGAGAGACGGGCAGGCACGGAATACAACCTGGAGGAGGGGGTCTGGATGTGGGGCATGGGGGAGAGAAGCGGTGAAGGTGTCGCCACGCTGTCTGGCCTGAGCTGACGCGATGGAGCCACCGTTAACAAAATGGCAACAAAGTCTATGGACGCGGCAGGCCTGGGGGTGCCGGGGGCTCGGTTCTGGACACGTCAGACGTGAGACAGTGTGTTTGTTTCCTGGGGTAGCCATCGAGAAGCACACACCGGGTGGTCTGAAACAGAAATGCCTCCTCTCACAGTCTGGAGGCCAGAAGTCTGAGGTCAGGGTGGCGGCCGGCCTGCCCTCCCTCTGGGACTCTGGGTCGAGTCCTTCCTTGCGTCTGCTGGCTGCCAGTGGTGGCCGTTAGTCTCTGGTGCCCCTTGGCTGCACCTGCCTCTGTCCAGTCTCTGCCCCTGTCCCCTGGCCTTCTTCTTGTGTGTCTGTATCTTCACATGGTGTTTTCCTCTTGTAAGGACCGCAGTCCTGTCGGATGACGGCCACCCTAACGACCTCATCTTAATGGCATCCGCAAAGACCCTGTTTCCAAGTCAGGTCACAGTCACAGGTTCTGGGGGGTTAGGATCGCGGTGTGACTTTCTGGGGGACACATTTCAACCCCTAACGGATGGCTGTTGGGCATCCAAGTGGAGGTGTTGGGCGGGGAAGGCCTGGGGGTGCCCGCGTGGGAGATGTAGGGGAGTCACGGGCGTGTGGAGGGCAAAGCCGTGAGACTGATGAGGTCGCTGCCACGGGGCGAGTGTGGCTGGTGCCTGGCGGTTGCAGGGCCAACCTGTGGGGGACTCCCGCACACGGGGCAGAGGAGAGGCACCCAGCAGTGAGACTGAAGTGGGCAGGCAGGAAGTCAGAGGAAAACTAGGAGCGTAGAGTCCCGGAATCCAGAACGAAGTCCGTATTTCCAGGACAGGGTGGCTGACTGGGCAAGACTCTGCTGAGGGAGGGGGTCAAGTGAGAGAAGCGTGGAAAACACTGGATTTGGCAAAACTGAGGGTTTTTCCCAGAGCAGCTGTGTAAGTGTTGAGAGAATTCTAGGTAAATACTTACCCACCTGGGTTATCTCATCAATAGCTTATGTTTTTTAGCAGTTTTTTTTTTTAAGGTTTGTGTATTAAAAAAATTTTTTTTAATGTTTATTTTCGAGAGAGAGAGAGAGACACACACACACACAGAGTGTGAGTGGGGGAGGGTCAGAAAGAGAGGGAGACACAGACTCCAAAGCAGGCTCCGGGCCCTGAGACGTCAGCACAGAGCCCGACACGGGGCTTGAACCCGCAAACTGTGAGATCATGACCTGAGCCGAAGTCGGACGCTTAACCGACTGAGCCCCCCAGGTGCCCCTTCCTGCTGTTAGCTTCTTAATGGACTGTTCAGATTTCAATTTCATAACGACTTTTAACACAAATTTCTCATTGATACAAGTTTTTTTTCCAAGCAATACCTTGTTCTTGGTGCTTAGTTTTAGAAAGAATTCTTCGAGAGCATTGCCTTCTTCCAGTAACCTGATAGTTTCTATTTTTTCCCCTTCAAAATAAAAGCTGCAGATTCTCGTGGACACTGGAAGCAGCAACTTCGCCGTGGCAGGTGCCCCGCATTCTTACATAGACTCGTACTTTGACACGGAGAGGTGAGTGACGGGCGCGTGGCTGGGCGCGGCAGGGTTTCGGGGCACCGCGTGAATACTGAGCAGACACTGGCATAAGAGAAGCCGAAAGGCTGTGTTGTTTAAAGGGGGATCTGTGTATGTATGTATTCGTGTGTCTGTGTAGACATCTGCGTGTATATTTGTATGCCTAGGTATCTGTATATGTAGACCTGTGTGCATGCGTCTATTTGTGTAGACATTTGTGTATATGGCTGTGTGTATATTTGTGTGTGTATACATATTTCTGTGTATGTATAGACATTTGTATGATTGTGTGTATTTGTGTATATATGTATACGGTTGTATATATATCTATGTGTATGTATATGTGTATGTGTAGATGGGTGTGTATATTTGTATGTATGTGTATATGGTTGTGTGTATTTGTGTGTATATATTTGTGTAGGTGTAGATATTGGTATATGGTTCTGTATGTACTCGTCTGTGTGTGTGGTTGTGTGTATTTGTATTTGTAGACATCTGTATATGTAGATATTTGTATATAATTGTGTGCGTATTTGTATGTGTAGATATTGCATACGTGTGTATGGTTGTGTATCTATTTGTGTGTATATGTATATGGTTGCATGTCCATTTGTGTGTGTATTTGTAGATATCTGTGTATGCATATATGGTTGTGTGTATGTGTAGACATGTGTGTATATGTAGATATCGTGTGTGTATGATTGTGTGTATATTTATATGTATCTAAATATTTGTGTGTGTAGATATCTGCGTATGTGTGTATGGTTCTATATATGTGTATATGTGTATATAGTTGTGTATATATCTGTGGGTATGTGTATGTGGTTGTGTGTATATAGATGCACAGATATCTGTGTATGTGTATATGGTTGTATGTATGTAGATATCTGTGCGTATGTGTATACGGTTGTGTGTATATTTGAGCATATGGTGTGTGTATATCTGTGTATGCATATATTTGTGTATATGTATAGATATCTGTATGTATGTGTGTATATTTATGTGTATGTAAATATTTGTATATGTAGATAGCTACATACGTGTGTATAGTTGTGCATATGATTGTATATTCGTGTATATGTGTATATGGTTGTGTATATATCTGTGGGTATGTAGATGTGTAGATATCTGTGTATGTGTATATGATTGTCTTTGTGTATATGTGCAGGTATCTGTGCAGATGTGTAAATAGCTGTGTGTATATTCATATGTGTGTATGGTTGTATGTATATGTATATATTTGTATATGTATAGATATCTGTGCATATGTATATATGGTTGTGTGTATATTTATGTGTCTATATGACTGTGTATCATTGTGTATATGTAGACATCTGTGTATATGTACGTATCTGTATGTGTCTATGATTATTGTATATTTATGTGTATGCATATGTTTTTGTGTTATGTGTAGATACCTGCATACGTTTGTATGGTTGTGTATGTATTTGTGTATATGGTTGTGTGTGTGTTTGTAGACATCTGTGTGTATGTAGATATTTGCATACGTGCATATGGTTGTGGGTCCTTTGTGTGCATGTGTAGACATCTGTGTGTATGTAGGTATTTGCATATGTGTATACGGTTGTGTATGTGTCGATCTCGCTGTGAGTATATGGTTGTGTGTTTTCCTGTGAGTCGTGTACTTGTCTGGGTATGCGTGTACACACAGGTATGAACTCCTGCCAGGGGAATCCATAGGAGGATTCTCCTATCAGCTGTGGTGCCTTCTCCTGGCATTGACTTGATAAAAATCTGAGTCAGCTGGCCTTTTTGTAGTCACACCCGGTTTGCAGACAGCACACCGTCCTCTGACGGTCCTTGAGCCCCTCTAGTCCTGATGTGGCGGGGGCTCGAGCCAGGAGGGGAGCGTCAGGTGTCAGCGTGAGGCTGTTCCGGGCCGCGGCCTGGGCTTGCTCGGAGAGCCACCTTTGCTGTCCCGAAGTTCAATGGTGGTCAAGGTGTGGTTCACTGGGACCACTTCTGTGACTCGCTTAGAAAGGAGCACAGAACATTCAGTCTGAGGACAGGACTCCAAGCCTGCCGTTGCGGGGCAGGCACCTGAGAACAGTGTGGAGCCTGGATGGCATCGGGCAGCCCCCGCTGGGCTCCCGGGACGGCCCCCAGAGCCTCGTGGCAGCGTTGGGCCCTAGAGGAGCCCACGGGGTCAGAGTCGCCGTCTTCTGGGTGCCATTGCTGCCCAAATGCCATGCACATTTCGATTTCACATCTCTTTTTGTGACCCTAAAGTTTAACCTTAAACAGAGAAAACAAATGAGGGGAATGCGGTTGGCTCTTCAGGCTGGTGAGCCGTCGCCTGACCCTGAGCTTCCACATTCAGTGCCCTGCTGCCCGTCCTCTACATGCCTCCCTGCTCACTTTCCTCGTCCGCAGTCTCTGTTCTCCCAGCTTTGGTTGAGGGAAAATAACAATTGGGAAGCTTCAGAAAACTGTGGGCGTCGATAGTAAGGCAGGAGACGTCGCCCCGTGTGGGAGAAGTGCCCGCCTGTCTTCTCCCGATGCCACAACTCGGTCTCCATGTTGGTGGCACTACAGATGTGGTCCTCTGTAGGCACAGCTGGAGAGCAGTGGTGGCAGGTGCTAGGCAGGCCTCGTGGGGCCACCAGATACCCCGTGGGCCCGTCCTTCGAAGAGCCTGTGGCTTAGTGTACGACCCCGTGCACCGAGAACCTGTCGTTACTGAAATTCCGGGGCGAACTTCCCAGCCAGTGACTGTTTATGACAGAAGAAGACTTGTGGGTGCCCCAGAGCTTTTGCTGTAGCCACAGATGTGCAGCAGGGGGGCGTATGTGTGTGCACACGCGCGTGTGCACGGGGCTGGGGGCTACCCTCTGCCCTTTCCCCTTCTGATGGGCCGTCCATCCACATCCTCTGCCCCCAGCTGCTCAGTCTGGACTGTTTCGTCCTAGAGCAGGACTTGGACTTGGTCCAGACCTTGATTTTATTCACGTAGCACAGGAGGCCCAGGAGGCCAAGAGACTTGTCCAAGATCAAGCTTCTAGGTCAACAGTTCCTGAACCTTCAGCCCTGGCACACCCCCTTTTTCTAGCAAGTATTTGGGAATGCCCTGAATGAATTGGAAAGGCAGTATCGCTTACCTGCATGTGTTAAGTCTAGACGCCCCGGGACCGTACGGAGAGGATGGAAAGCGGTCACGTGGACAGAGGTGGTCGGTACTTTGGTCTGTGCACACTCTGGGTCAGCTGCAGTGGGAGGGCTGGGAGGTGGGGGCACACGAGGCTGTGAGCATCCCCGGGGGCCTTGCAGCAGCCAGTGCAGACGGGGAGAAGGAGGGTTGAAGTGGACTCAGACCCCCAGAGCGGCTTGGGTTGGTGACATGATTTAACAAACAGGCGAAGAATCTTGGTAAAGTTGTCCCTCCCCCAAAAGTGTCACCTTCCCCGGGTTGACTTGCGTTTCTGGAAAGTGCAAATGCGTATTAAAAATACGTAAAAAAATGTATCTGGGTGGCATAGCAACCTTAGCCCTCTGTCTTCTTCACACTGCAGGCTGTAGTCGCGACACGTACCTGGTGTCCCCACACCTACCCTGTGCTCAGAACACGCATGTGCAGCACACTCCCTATGCTCTGAACCTCGTATTCGAGGCTCAGCTGTGTCTTTAGTGGCTTTCCTCCCCTGGGGTAATTCTGGTTTTCATCACAGATCTGCAGACACGAGAGACAGTAGGAGAAAGTTCAGCAGAGTAAAGCCAACATTTGAGAGATGTGTGTACTCACATTAGATTCCAGGGTGCAATTTTTTTAAAAAAAAAGGTTTTTTTAATGTTTATTTATTTTTGAAAGAGAGAGAGAGAGAGCACGAGCAGGGGAGGGGCAGAGAGGGAGACACAGACTCCGAAGCAGGCTCCAGGCTCCGAGCTGTCAGCCCAGAGCCCGACGCGGGGCTCGCACCCATGAACCGTGAGATCATGACCTGAGCTGAGATCAAGAGTCGGACGCTCAACCCACTGAGCCACCCAAGCGCCCCTCAGGCGTGCAGATTTAACCCTGTGGATGAGTGTTCCCTTCCCAGTGGGTAGACGGTAGGGCTTGGGCAAGCGCCCACAGCCAGGGATCAATAGAGGCCAAAAGAGCACTTTGCAAGCCAGTCCCTTCTGCCACGCAGATGCGGTTATTGAAACCGCGGTAGGTCGCAGGCAACGTTACAAATACAGTGTACGGTATTTACCCGACCGTAGCCTGCGGGGGTCTTTTCTCGTTTACCTTTTGCTTTGTTCACGGTTTGGTCGGATGGTGGTCCCGTCTCAGGCTTCGGGAAGACACGTCTTTCTAACCTCACCGCTAACCTTGCGGCCGGGTTCGTGGTCAGGCGGCAGATGTTTCTGTTTCTCATATTTAGGTGTTGAGCCTCGTTGAAGGTGAAACTCGTGAGAACGTCTGTAGCTCCCCCGATGGCTAAGCCTTCCCTCCCGCTAACTAGCCCAGGAGGGCTGAGGGCTCTCTACCAGCTTTTGGGGCCGTCAAGGGTCTCCTGGGCTGTCCACACGTGGACGAGCAGAGATAACAGAACCTACCAGCGGGCGGGGGACACCCCTGGCTCTGTCGCCCAGACCTGAGCGCACCTTCTTGGTTCACAGGTGATGCTGAAAAGTTCTCAGTACCCAGAAGACATCACCCACATTTTGGGCCTCTGGCCGACCTTTTAAGAGGACTGTTCCGTGAAGCATCACATTTCTGAGTTTGGGGCCGGTTCTGCTCAGTCAGTGGTGTCCCTACTAACAGCGGGTGTCTGCAGGTTAAGCACTCGCTCAGATTTACGCCAACGTTCTTTTCTCTCCCTTCCTCTGTGCCCCCCCCCACCCCCCGCCCCGCCATGTTTCTCCCAGGCTTCTATTTGACGCAGATTTAATATTGGAAAGATAGAAGCATTTTCTGTGTAAATTATGTATTACTAATTTGCCTGTTGCTTTGAGCTGACTTTACAGTTGGCCTACGGTATGCTTTCCCCCATTGT